GTTTCTAATGTAATATGGCTGTCTTTCATTAGCGTGCATATGTGCAGATTTCGGTTCAACAATGAAAAACACAACAAAACAAAATCCCAGTGACTGCCCAACATAATCAATTCACAGTTAATTGAATTCAAGAAATTTTCCTTACCTGTCCAATCCACAGGTTTGACTTGACTGCTTCTCAGTTCCTGTCTAGTGAGCTGTGAAGTCCCTTTTTTTCTTTGAAAGCAGTTGAGATCTTAGACTTTTGCAACCTTGGATAAACAAACACTTCTGATCTGGAAGTTTCATAAACAACACTTCCTGAGAAAATGTATTTCTGTAACTATCTGAACCATCTCCTTTCTTCTCAGACTATATTTACCTCTGATTTCAGTCAGAATTTCAAACTGAACCCAAAAATTTTCAATTACACTGTTAACAAAAAATTTGTTCATCCTTGATACTGCTGAACTATTGGCTAAGTTTTCTACCTCCTGGTCATAAAGTCCCACAAGAAAGACAAACTTCCATTAGCATTCCAGGAAGTTTAGTTTATTTGTTCATGGGATGTAGGCATCACTGGCTAAGCCAGCATTTGTTGCTTGACTGCAATTGCCCTGAGTTAAGAGTCAACCACATTGCTGTGGGTCTGGAGTCATGTGAAAGGATGGTTTTTCCAGCAATTGACTGGTTTCATGGTCATCGCTTACCATAGAAACAGGAGAAGGCTATTCAGTGAGATCATGGCTGATCTGGGATCAAAAACAGGTATATGGAAATTGGCCAATGTCCTTTTTTAATGCCTTTACTTAACAAAAATTTATCTATCTTGGATTTAAAAAGAACAACTGATCCACCATCCACTGCCAGAACAGCCTGGCCCTTATTTTCAGACTATGCCCCCTACTTACAGAATCTGAGGTGGAAAAATCTTCTCTTTTATCTACCTTTTTTTCCCTTTTCCTGTTAAACTTATTTAAAATCATATAGTTCCAGATTTTTAAGGAAAATTGTATTTAAATTTCAACATCTCCCATGGCAGTGTTCAAACCTGGGTCCCTGGAACATTACTTCTTCTCTGGATTACGAGTCTAGCAATAATATCACTATACATTTGCCTCCTCAGGCTTGCAGACCTGATCTCTGACGCATACTAATTTAAAATCATGGCTCTGGAAAGACTGACTTTTGTTTCTTTAAGCCCCTTCACAAAAGTAAACTAACACCCATTTGCCACTAATTTAAAATCTAAACTCTCAATATTTTTCCTTCATCCAGCTTTACCATAACTTGTACTTGAAAAAGGTTTACTCTTGGAAGAAATTAAGTTTTTGAGATATCATTGGTCAATTCCATTGACTTTTTGGGAAATTGCTTGTGCACAAATCTCCATCTGTTTTATATACAATTCAATTAAGTATCTAAATATAATACCTGTTGTTCAAATAGTCCTTGAGATTTAAGTATAGTTTTAAAAAAAAAAAAATTCTTAATGTGAGTTGCAAGTTGTTTCAAAACTTTGTGGCTTCAACCATCACCCAGCTTGATTTGGTTATGTAAGTTTTCAGGCTATGCAATGCTGAAAAAATGTATTACATTCATCATGGTTCCTGTAATTACATGCTAGCTGCTAAAACATGTTGTGTACCTGTTTCTTCCCTTTATGTTTAAGGTTTTTGGGGGTGTCTTAGTACTGCACTTCACGTTCCACCCAGGAGTAACCTTGTTTACACCGCTTGACTCTTGCTGAGCTGGAACTTTAACAGACTTGTTTAGGAGAAGGCTTTGCACATGTCTGAACACCACCTGAGTTGTTTCCTCACTATGGGTATAGTGTTAGAAAGTGGAATAGGTCAGCTAAGATTACATTTACTGACTGAGCAGGCTTGAAGGACAGTGGCAGCATCCTTTATTATGCAGTTCCTTTTCACTATTCTCAAAGATGTCTAGCAAGCTTCACTAACTCAACCCCCTACAGAAGAGAATTGAAATGGAAATACTCGAAGACCATCATTGGGTTGGCATTGCCAGTTCACAGGGAACTGCCATTACCACCACTGGGAATTGAAAAGTGGATAAATGCGCTATTTATCTGGCTGTGCTCGAGAAGTACTTAAGAAATCCAATTTTTCAATAAAATGTCAATTTTTAACCAGACTTTCATTCAGAATTAGGTGATTAATTGGCAATTCTCAAGAAAGATTGTCTGCCCTGAGATTTATTAAATCACAGCTAGGTTGATGGTGTTAGTCATGGGACTCCACTTAAACTGCAGCCGGTGGAGCTGACTTGTGCAAGATTGAAGAATCTTTTTGTGCTGTATACCTCTAGCTGGTGTTATCATTATCGGGTTATGTGGTAGCTGAATATTAGGTTCTGAGAAATTTTGAAGTACTCTAGCATTCAGTTGGTAATAAGCGCTGTTGCTGTTTAATTTCACATCCTGAAACCCAAAAGAAAAAATTTGACTGTAATAGAGTCTGATGAGAATCCAGCTGTTTAGGCACCCTCCATAGTTTTGAGTCTCTACTACTTTTGGTCCCTATCACTAAAGTCTAATGAGACAAGATATTTTTAATTCATTTGTGGGATGTGGGTGCTGCTCATTGGCTAGCATTTATTTCTTGTCCCTTGTTGCACTTCAGAAGATGATGAGGAGCTGCTGCCTTGAATCACTGCAGTCAGTGTGCTGTAGGTAGACCCATAATGCCATTTGGGGAGGGAATTCTGGATTTTGACCCAGTGCTGAAGGAATGTCGATGCATTTCCAAGTCAGGATGATGAGTGGCTCGGCAAGGATCTTGCAGGTGGTACTCCTACGTATGTGCTGCCCTTGCCTAGATGGAAGTAGTCATGGATTTGGAAAATGCTGTTTAAGATCTGTCAGTGAATTTCTGCGGTGTATCTTGTAAATAGTACACGTTGCTACTACTAAGCGTCAGTGATGTAGGAAGTGGATGTGATGCCAATCAAGTGGGCTGCTTTGTCTTGGATTGTCAAGTTGCTCATGTTGGACCTGCACCCATCCAGGCAAGTGGGGAGTATTCCATCACACTCCGGACTTGTGCCTTGTTGATGGTGGATGGGCTTCGGGAAGTCAGGAGGTGACTTATTTGCTGCAGAATTCCTAATCTCTGACCTGATCTTGCAGCCACTGTACTTGTACAGCTGGTTGAATGGAGTTTCTGGTCAATGGTAGCTTGTCTCTTGTCTCTTGTCTCTTGTCTCTTGTCTCTTGTCTCTTGT